TTTATGTGTTGCTGGAGATGGAACCCAGGACCTAGTGCATGCTAAGCTAGCACTCTACCACCTGAGCTACATCCCTAGCCTTTAAGGTGAATATTTTCTAGGTGTTGGTGGCTCCAGACCCAGCTGTTATCTTGGCTCCCTACTCCATACCACATGCCTTTCTGAGTTTCCACTTGGATTACTCCACAGATGTTTCATGTCCTCTGTGCACTGAGCCTCTCTTACCCTCTGACACCACCAAGCCTGGCTTTCCTGCTATTGCAAATGGTGCCATTATTTGTTTGGTCTCTAAGGCAGGAAATTGGGGGTGACCTTGACTTCATTTCTCTGATTCATAACCTCCAACAAGGGTGTCTGGCTCTTTAAAGCACCTCTTCCAGGCTCATCCAAGCCTCTTAACTCCCAGAGACAGGTTCCTTAGCCCCTAAGCATTTGCTAGCATCTGTTCTTGTCAGTGTAGAGATCTACCTCTGAACAGTGACAGCGTCACTCCCAGTTAGTTTCCAGTGCTTATCACTGCATCAAGGATAATCCCCTGCCTATGGCCACCTGGTTCCCTTGTTCCACTTATCTTCTGCTTCTCCTGTCTTCCAGAAGGTTCTAGCTGTACTGACTATCCATCCCTGAGCATTTGTCAAGCTTGCTCCTCCGCTAGAGATTTTGCTCTTCAGTCTTCTCCTCGGATAACTAGGCATACAGGTCACTTCCTCAGAAAGATTCCCTGATTACTCTTTTCAAGTGCGTTACCTAGTCATCCCTCAGCCAGTGGCTTATTCCTTTCATGATTTAGCTAATGAAAACCATTAGTTAGAAAAAAAACTTCCTCTTGGAAGCTTTCCAGGAGTTAGTTTCCATCATGTCAGTTAATTTAGCAGCTTGAGTGGGAGAACTGAAACTGTTTTTCTACTTGGGATCCCCCATTTCTTAAAATCTGTGACAAAATTCTTAGCATCTTTGAATGCTTGATTCTCCATCTGAGGGCACACATGGGATGCCACTGCCCTTGATACTGGGCAGCCCTAAGGTCAGACAACCCCAGCCAAACCATTTCCAAGCTGTATGACCTTGGCCATGCATTCCAGTTACCCATGGCTGTGTAACAAATGACCCCAAACTCAGTACATTCAAAGATTTGTTTTTCAGTTTGGACAAGGTTGTTGAGACAACTTACTTCCACTCCACTCATCACTGGGTGGCTATAAGCCTGAGGCTGAATTGTCTGCAGGCTCCTTTCTCATGTGCCTGGTAGGGCTAGGGGGGACTAGAACTGGAGTTATTAGCTTGACTGACTGCCTTCACGTGGCCACTCCATGAGGACTGTGCTTCCTCTCCACATGGCAACTGGATTCCAAGTGTGAGTGGAGACAGAGAGAGAAAGAGAGGAGAGAGAGCGAGAGAGAGTGAGAGAGAGTGTGAGAGAGAGAGCTATGTTTCTTATGACCTTAGTCAAAGTATCACTTTCATACCATGCTGACTGAAGCATACAAACACACACACACACACACACACACACACACACACACACACTGTTAAAAAGAAAAGCAACTGGAATATATATATATATATTTCTTCCTTGGAAAATGCAACCAGATACAAGACGTTCCTTAACCTTTCTGAGGCAAGTGTTGACCTACACCTGTACTCCCAGCTATAGGAAGGTTGAAGATTACTTAAGCTCATGAGTTCAAGGCCAGTCCGGCCAACACAGTGAAACTCCTATTTTGAGAGAGCAAGCATCCTGAGATTCTTTATTAAATACTGGTCATATCTGCTTGCTCTGTGCTGCCTCCTGTTCTCGCTGCTTCTGCCCAGTCCCGGACCCCAGGGCTGGTGAGGAGACTGTGTCAGCGGAGCTGTAGTCAGACACAGGAGACCACGGTCAGTAACACAGGTCTGGTTTATTGCAGGAAGGCACAAGCTTATATAGGGGTAGTGGTCCAATCACAGCACAGCAAGTAGGATACCTCATTAGCATAACAGGTTTAGTGTCCTATCGCAGTACAGCAAGTAGGATATCTTATTAGCATAACAAACAGCATCCTATTAGCATAACAGACAAAGTCCTATCACAGAATAGAGAGTATGATGTCTCATTAGCATACTGGGTTTCAGATTACAGAACCAGGATTCCTGGACCCTGACAGTTGCAATATCACCCTAGACTCAAGCCTATCTTCCACAAGTACCCAAGGGTCAGACAGCTGTGGCTTGCAGAATCTGCGAACAGTCACCTATATACCTGCATGTGGCCAATTCTGGATTCCCAGTAAGTCACACCCCCTTTGCAGAATTCCTGAATCCACAGCCCCCACCTCTGCCCCACCCCTGGATGTCTCCCCACCAGGGCTGCTCCCGAAACTCCCCTGGAGCTGCAGTGTAAATGCCTGCTCCCCTACCCCCAATCCAAAGACTCTTTGGCGAGAAAGGACCCTTAGCCCCTGCTCAGCTCAGGGGTGAGTATGGGGCCCAGAGTGGACAGGGAGTACAACTAGGACTCAGCCCTTGGCCCAAGAGACCAGGTTCAGAGTGCAGGCCACTCAGATCACAAGACTATCATAGTGACAAAGGATATATCAGGGGTAGATAGCTGAGAGAGCCTGAACCTAAACAGCCCCTACATGAACTCACACCATGCCATCTCACATCTCCAAGGACACATTCTGCACAGGACAAACTGAAGCACAGAAAGGGCAACAATTTCAAACAGTTTCATAGCTTCTCTCTGTACCACTGTGGCCAGCCTGCAAGAGCAAGGGTGTCCCATCTGAAGGACCTGCCATCTGGTACATCAGACCAGGCCAGGTTGGGACTCTTGAGTCCCGAGAGTAGGAGAACCCACTCTGGGTCACCAGCCCACGGTTCCCAAGTCACTGCCCAGCACCCTTGCCTAGGTACCCTGGCAAACCTGCTTGTACTTCATTGTGGAGGGTAGGTCAGAGGCAAAGGAGTTGACCTGGTGCAGGATGGCTGTGCTGTGGGTCAGGTTAGGAAGAGGCGAAAGAGAAGGAAGGAGGAAGGAGAAAATAGGTAAGGTAGAAATGAGGGTGGAGGAGAAACGTACACATGGTAAAGGGGAAAGGATAAAGAGGGAGAAGGGACCAAGGGAGGAAGAAGAGGCTGCAGAGGGGTAAGGGGTCCTGCCCTCCTGGGTGGCAGGGGTGGGGCCACCCTGAGGATAAGCGCCCTCCCAGGTCCAGAGAATTTAATCAGGCTCTTCCTTTCTGTGGCTCAGGTCGGGGAATCAATGATGCGCAGTGAGGGCGGGGGGAAGGGCGAGGGCTAGAAGGTGCAGCAGACTAGGTGTAATGCCTCCTTAAAATCCACTGGTTTGATACTTAAGTTGCAGAGTTTGAAACTCGGGTGGGGACTGGGAACTATGCTCGGGACCTCAGGTGGTCAGGATGTGCAGAGCTGGGCTTGAACCCAGGGCTCCCCGGTCCTAATGGCAGTGTAGATGAAGCTGAAGCAGGAGGCGCCGGGTACACTCTAGAGGTGTGAGGCTTGGGCTGCATCGGGTTCTGCCTTTGACAGTGAACAGACCTCGTAAACCGCTTGCTTTAGTTTATACATCTGTCGGATGGGATCCTTAGTCTTGCTGGGCTAAGTCACAGGGGGCGGAGTTCGCGCACGCTCAGCACCCGCGAGGGTAGAAGGGCGAGCGGCGAGCGGCTAGGTGCCGGGGTGTGCATGGATGCTGGCTCCGGAGAGCTGAGGTCCACTGGGCCTCTGCCGGGGAACTCCCGCTCCCGCTGCCCACGCGGCGCCGCCGGGCACCCGGAAGCCTCGGCGGGGTGCGACCCTCCGGCCCTCAGGGCAGGGGCCGGCAGCGGGGCGCCCCAGGAGCAAGCGGGGTCGGCCGCTGCCCGGGCCTGCCTGGCCCTCGAGGGGGTCGCTGTTGCCTCGCACATCC